ATTTATCTCAGACATTTTTCGCTGTTACATAAATATAATAAATTTCTAACAAGACTAATCGAGTTAGAGGAAGATAAATTGTGTTAAGATGTTCAGCCCGAGTTTCCCTTAGTTACAGTCGAGTCATCTTTATTCAATAGTCTTACCAAATGTACACTTTCACGTGTGGTAATTACTGTTGTGGATGCCGAAGAAAATGCTTTACTCATATCAGTAAATCCTCGTTCACTACCCAAATGCTAACCTAACCTAACCAAACCAAACCAAACCAAACCTTACCCCCAGGTAGCGTTAGGGTGTTTAATCATCAGCTAATCTTCACGTGATCTAATTTTACACACCACCACCTTGCTTCTTCACAATAAACCACACAACGGGAAGGAGTCACGTGTTTGGCTGAATTTTGCATCGTGTGATCTCTAAATATTTGGTATCTAAACAATGGGCGCGAGCAATGTGGAATAATTACGTACAGTATTTCTTTGCTGTGACCCAATAGAGTTGCAAGCAGTCCCTCACACGTCTAACAAGTAACAACATGAAGACATTTTACCTGTCTACTACACTGTGACCTGAAGACTGAATGACAATCAAGCTGACAAATAACAATAACGAAAACTAAGTAAAATCCAATCAATTCATATAAATAAACAAATAAATAAATAAATAAGTACATATATGTGATACAAGATTATAGAAGTTTTCCCTATGAATAAATGACCCCGAACTCCTCCGTTTTCTCTGGTATAAGGAACACCAAAGAATTATTTCAGGGATAACTACACTCCTACCACCTGACCAGGGTATCTTACGAGTAAAACACTGACTTCTGACATTCACAAAATTTAATAAAGCATTTGAATAATAAAGCACAAAATTTAATAAACGATAAAAAATACTCGTGGCAGCTGAAAAACCAGAAGCAACAAACAACAAATTAAAAGAACATAATTAAATATTATTTGATGTTCAAGTCTCTCTCTCCACACACACACACAAACGCATACTCTCAATAAAACGAGAACGAGAATGAGAACTCGTTAATATATTCTCATAATAAATGAAAAAAATAAAACAAATCAATTGATGTACAGCAAAGGTTTCAATGATGAAACTCCACAATCATAGCTTAAAATATGGTTATTTGTTACCTTATTACTCAATTAAAAATAAAACACTCGCACTATCAACGTAAAGTATCAATCGACCAATCTATCTATCTATCACCAACGACGGTACATGACACACGATAACTTTTAATTGATGAGTTTTAATAATACATATATGCCTACAACTACGGGTAGAGGCACAAAAATATTCAGGTCAACAAAACTCACATTATTATCATCATTTATAATCAACTTCCATTTCATTTTATAAACTCGGTCAAATTAATGCATATACAAGTACAGAAATATCATTATAATTCTTGGGTCTTAACTTACCCTTCCTTAGAATCAATGATATAAATAAAGCTGTCGTATATATGTTAAAATTTGATAATATATACAGTATACTGTACTGTATATCGCTAACCTTTGTATGCCATCAACCACCACCATTTGCAATCACTTAAAGTTGTATTATTCCTCCAATTAACTCGATTTTACATTCCTTCAGACACTCTGTAAATAAATAATAATATCATATTTCTTCTTCAAATTCACTGTACATAACTGCCTAAAGGTTCACACACTGGACAAAATGCGTCGCTGTCTTAACTGGGTTACTGGACGATTAGGCTTTTAGGTTTTGAGGTTACTTAAACTTAAACACTTGGGTAATATATAAACAAATTGCTAAACAGCCACACTTACAAATTAATATATTATTACTTACATATATAGAAGGACGTAATTCCTATTCCTGTTTACTTTTCTCCACATTTGTTTGTTTACCTCGTGACAGGGAATACATTTTTAAATTTTCTTTTTATCTTTTTACTCAATCTGTTTAACTTATTAAGTAATAATTAAAATTGGAAAATTTTTATCGTTAACCATAAATCATGATTATACAAATAATTACAAAGGATATTATTATATAAGACATGTATACATCTTTTGAATATTACTGATCAATTCCTCGCTGTCGTATACGTGATCAGTAAATAAACAGATTTAATTGGCAGAATATATTAAAACAAAAACTTTGGTTCTAAACGTAAAAAATATATTAAAAATAGTGAGTTAAATGAAATTACAGTTTCGTTATTAAATTAGACATAACGGAAAAAAGAATTTAGTGCAAATAATTTAGTATTATTTTGTATATATGAATAACTTGATAAAATAAAAAGAATTATACAATATTAATAAACACAGTCTTAATCCCATTTATAACGACTGTGTATAACTGCACGATACAATAACATAATAATAATAACATACGTCAACTCATCTAACCCTTTACCAAATACCTCATCTTAAATAACTCTATAAAGAGAATCCACAACTATGATAATTAACTATTCCCTTTTAAACATTTCCTAGAAGAACGTAAAAATAAATACCATCTAACTTTCAGGTAAGATCCGGAAAAGTGTTCTTAGAAGTCTTTAGTGACTTTTATTTTATTATGAAACAAAAGAAACCTGCTAGAATTTTCAAAAGCGGATGACTGAGTCGATGTAGGTCAAATGGGCCCCGGTTCTAATAGCCCCACATTTAATAAACCTTAGTTTTAATATGCTCAAGATTGAATTGACCCCATTTATTATAGGTCCCAGTCCTAATAGGCCCATCCTAATTGATCCTAGTCCTAATAGGCTCGTTCCTAATAGACTCCAACTTAATATATAAAATTAGTTGATATAAATAGGTTTACTATAAAGGATGGTTTTATAATAATGATAATGTTTAATATTATTATTATTACCGAAAGTAGTATTATATTACGCTACGTGCATGCACTTACAATTTGAATAATGTTTTGTGTAGCCCCCGAGTCTCTCATCAAACACCTGAGTATACTCTTACAAAACTTCCCATTAATAACATCAATAGGATTATTATATTAGTGCACATTAGAGGCACGTGTCAGGTCTATAAAAAGTTATCACCATGGCAAGTGCTTCTCGATGATGTTTACAGAGTTATAAGGAGAAGGTAAATATTCACCAAGTGTTGCCGCAATGTTTGTATTTTATTGACGAGTTAATGTATTAATATTGTTCACTTGACACTGAGTCATGTCTGTGTTTTATCTTAATGTTCATTGTATTGAGAGAATTTCTTGAACTTCCGTCTTTTATGATAGTAGATACTAATGAATAATAACAGTAGTATCCGTCGCGTTCGTGGATCTTCCTTTCCGCTAACGCTTGAGCTTTTGGACGGATCACTTTGAAAATTGTTATGATTCAGTGACTTTAAATCGAGGAATTAACTGCATTCGGCGTTACATCGCGTCTTTGACTGTATAATAAAACAAGGAACAAAAGAACATATCATTCGGCCTTTGAATAAATTAGGAAGAATGGCCGACATATCAACATTCTTTACCTATTATTAACTGTAATAACCCAGGCGTTGACGGCCAGCAAACCTAAGAATCCCTACCTGTTCTTGACAATCTTGTTAATGTGTTAATGTATATTTCATTGTACAGATGTCGTATTGATGGAAACTAACTCTCTTGAAATAATATGACCAGCGCATTATTTGACCCCCTCTTCCCACAATACAAATAAACATTGACTATCGATACTTCCTGTAGACCGTTTCCATTTATTAGTAATTCGGTGCACTAGATCTTAATAGTTTGTTGGGTTTTGTTATTAGTCTTGGAAAAATATGTAGAATAACATCATACATGCATTATAATAAAAATTACTTTAATAGCAGACATACATCCAGACATTGAATTCCAGTAATGTACAATACACAAATATTAAAAACACCAAAAAAAAAAAAATTCCCCCCAAATTCGGGTTGTGTCTTGATATTGAAAGAGACTGGTTGATGAGGTTGATATTGCAAATTGAATTTCCTTTAATAGGGTAACTTGTTACATGAGTTTCCAAGAGGTGGTTCAAATAATATTCAAACAAATTAAAATATATCACATTAAGTGGTAAGCTCCTTCGAGTAATGGGTCACCTGCGCTCTTATTTGTACAGGTGACACTTATGGAACTGGTAATGGTGGTAATGGTGGTAGTGAGGTAATGTCTGAATGAGAAATGAGAGCATAGATGATGAAGGTATAATGGTGTGGTTGTGAGTTATAGAGCACTGTACTCTCATTGTTTCTCTTTCTCGCTCTCTTTATCCCTCTCTTTCTGTCTGAACAATCTCTCGCTCTATCTATCTCTCTCGTTAACTCACCTATCTATTTATCTATCTTTCTCCGTCTACCTGTCTGTCTATCTGTCTCACTCTCTCTCATTCTCTCGCCCTCTGTTTCTCTCTCTATCTTCCTTTCTCTGTCTGTGTCTACCTGTCTGTCCCCAACTCCATCTAACACAAAAGACAAAATAAAACACATTAATAAACTCTTTTCTTTTCGTATTGGTCATCGTTTTCAGATTTTGTCGTCCATGTATACAACAACATCGACTCGCGTCCTAAAATGTTACGAAAGGTCGAGTGTGTGTGACCCCTAGAGCTGTGTGGTCTTTAAGAGGCCCTGAAACGTTTGGGTGAATTGAAGCCCTTGATTTTGTTTGCTTGTTATTGTTTTTGTTGTATTTGTTGTTGTTGTTGTTCTTGTTCGTGGTATTATTTTATTTGTTGTTGTTCTCATTTTTATTATTATCATTTTTTTCTTCTTGTTTTTCTTAAATATTGAAGCACACACACACACACACACACACACACACACACACACACACACACACACACCGATGATTATTACAATGATGATGATGAGGTTGGGGGAGGGAGAGGGGGGGACACACACCTGGGTGGGGTAGAAGAGCAGGTAAGACTTCAGGTAATCAATGAGTGACGGACAGGTATAACACAGTGGGGTGAGAGGACCTTCACTCACTCACTCACCTCCGTGGCTCACTCACCTCCACTCTCTCTCTCCCAGGGTCCTCAGGTTAGTTGTGACTCTCTTTCTTTTTCTCACTTTTTCTTTCATTTTGTCTCTCCCCTTTATTTTGTGTTTCATTCTTTATTTCTTTCTTTCAGTCTCTCTTTCTCTCCATTTTTTTCTCTATTTCCCTCCCTTCTTGTCTCTCCTTTCTCTCTGTTTCTTTATCTATGTCTCTATCTCACTCTCTATTCTTATATCGCTATGTATTGTATTGTATTTTATATCAACTATGAATTTATACACACACACACATATTATATATATATATATATATATATATATATATATATATATATATATATATATATATATATATATATATATATATATATATATATATATATATACACACACACGCCATGTTTACCTTTTTATATACAAAAATATATCTGTCCTCCCAACTATCAGCTGATCGGATAACAAACCTCTGTCCCCCTTAAAAATCAACTAATCAGATGTAAACAAACCGTCCCTAAAAATCAGCTGATCAGATGTAAATAAACCTCTGTCCCCACCTAACAGTCAGCTGATCGGAAGTAAACATGAAGACCTCGACTCCCTTCTGGTGGTGTGCGACGTGTGTGAGCTTCCTGGTGGCTGCAACACTCACTACAGGACAGATATCTTCGTCAGGTAGGTCTTGTCTCCCTCTCAGTACAGTTAGAACCTCAATTACTTCTGAGTTATTGAACGTTACCTTATGACTTGATGGCTATAGACTTAATAATATGTTCGGATCACCTGGGGATTATTTTTGGTCAATACGTCAGTCACAGGTAATACAAAACCATCTGAAGGAGGTATAGAACAGGTGTTTCCTCCCCCCCCCCCCCAACACATAGTAATGAGTTGTGGTCGGGGCTACTTCGTCTACTTCTGTCTCTACCTGATCTGTTACTACTTCTGCTTCTTCTACTTCCTCCAGGAGGCAGCAAAATGGTGACGGGAGTTGTCTTTGGTCAAGGTTACTCCCTCGTCTGTAGTCCTCCTCCTGCTGCTACTGACGCTGCCGGTGTTAGTGTCCAACGTGCAAGCGGCGGGAGCTCACCAGGGCTCTCCACCGCCACCACTTCGTCCTTCACCTTCTGCGCCTTCGTCAAGTTACTCAGGAGTCGTATACGATCTCCTTTATTGGTCTACACTCCTGTCAACACCTGGAGCGCTACTGTAGGTGAGTGTCTGTCAGTCAGTAAGTCCGTCAGTTAGCCAATCAGTCAACAAGTCAGTCAGTCAGGTTAGGTTAATCTTCAGGTGATCCACATATTTAAGCTCTTCATCTATACAGACTTGGGCCGCCTGGGAGTGTCACTGAAGGTGCAGGTGGAGAAGAAGAAGGAAGAGGAGAAGAGGGAGGAGGAAGAGAGGGAGGAAGAGGTACTACAGTATTTCTTTGAGGCCAAGTTTCCTCCCGGTGTTTGGCGTCACCTGTGTTTGCAGTTCGACCACCTAACACGACAGGTGAGTTAGGTGACCTTTTCACCCTTGGTCGAATTAAGTTATTGTTTATCATTGTTTGTATACCTGGAGTGTCTAGGAACATTGTTTGTATACCTGCACTGTCTACGTACGTTGTTTGTATACCTGCACTGTCTAGGTACATTGTTTATATACCTACAAGCTCTGTTTACACTATATACCTGCGTTGTTTATACACGTGCTTAACCAATTTTAAACTTGTTGGGTGATTTTACTAAATAATATCTCTCTATCTATCTATCTATCTATCTTGCCCATTTTTAACAAATCGATGGATGTTGATTGAACGTGTACACTGACGGCCTGTAACCCTAATAATAACACAAATGGTAGTCAACACACACACACATAACCTAACACACTTTATTTCTCTATCTCGGTGTCTCCTTCCTCAGGCTGAGTGTTTCATCGATGACACCCACGAACCTCTCGCTGCCGGGGACCTGCCAGAGAGGGGCGCCGAAAGCACGCTGGTGGGGGAGATTGATCAACTCCCTGGCAGCTTCAAAGAGAAAGACACAGTAGTTGATGATGGTGGTACTACTGCCCGGGGGTCATCGGGAGGTCACAACTCACCCACGATAGTTGTAGGGGCTAGGCGTGGGTCAGGTGGGGTGGTGTGTGTGGGTGGGGTTGACCGTGGTACCCTTGAGGCCCAGGTCGCTCGTGCTGCCATCTGGAGGAGAACACTGGGGGCAGAGGTGTTACTTCAGGCATCGGGATGTCGGGGCCAGCATCCTGTCGAGGCTCCGTACCTGATGATGGAGCGACAGTGGACGGTGGCTGGTAACGCCTCCCTCGGGTCATACAGCCTGGAGGAGTTGTGTCTCTCTGAGCAGCGCCCTGTAGTGGTTCAGCCCGCTGGGTCTTACTCCCGTCATGGGATCGTCTGCCATGCTCTTGATGGGGCCCTTATGAGTAGTGCGGACCTCACGCCCTCCACAATGCTACTAGCTCGAGGCGCTAATGACTCCTGCGTGGGCCCGGGGGGTCTGGTGACGTGGTTGTCGGGAGGTAAATTGGATAAAGGAGCAGCAATGAAGGTGACGGCGGAGGATGAGTGTCCTGCCCAGGGCACTGAAGGAGGGATGTTCGCCGCCTGTGTTCGTCAGCTCCAGTGTTCTCTGTGTCAGGTGCCGCTCACTGTCATGTACAACCTGTATGGTCACGACGGCAGGCTGTTTGATCACAACTACTACATCGACACACAGGCTGGTCAGCTGGTGTTCAGAGGGGTGGGAGGCTCAGAGATAGTGAGTGCGGGAGGAGGCTGGGTGTTGAGGTCGACGCTGCACCAGATGGAGTGGGTGCTGGAGGAGGGACCGGTGCCTGTGGGTCGTCAGCAGTGGGGTGCCGGGGCTAGAAAGGTCGTGCTGACCCTCACCACCTGCCGCACCTCACAGTTTGCTTGTGACGACGGCCAGTGTGTACCTCAGACTTCTCGTTGTGACGAAATTTTTCACTGTAACGACAGGTCCGACGAGGCCAACTGTCGTGTGGTGGACCGGGCACCTGGGTACGACCCCTACTACCCTCCACCCCCACGACCCGACGAGATCACACCGATGGACCTCATCTACCACGTTGACGTGTACAGCATGGACGACCTGACTACTGAGGGGGGCGTGGCCACCATGAACGTGGGGATGACACTCAAGTGGTTTGATCCCCGCCTGAAGTTCCTCAACCTTAAACCCAAAGTGAAGAATTACTTCCTCTGTGACCTGGTGTGGACGCCCAGTGTCCGGGCTGTCTCAGGGCACGGGGAGGGCACCGTGCTGGAGACTACAGACTACGAGAAGTTCTGCTACGCCTACGCCGACACGACCTCCGAGAGACCCCTTGAAGATTCTTTCATGAGTAAGTTGGCGCTGCAAGACACGAGTGAGTCACGTTATATGTTTAACTTATAATGACTCAACCTGAGGCCACCTTGAGGTTAGTCGCACGCCGTCGGGAGATAACGCACTAGAAACAACAACAATATTCCCTCGCCATGTTAACACTAAGATGGGAGTAACAACCCACTCGCCACTCGTTGACTGTATCACATAACTCCCATTTGAGAGTTGCCAGTCATCCCACCTCCAAAAAATACGCGATAAGTATTATAAGTCTTTATGATAGGATATGGATTACATAATTACGTTAAGACAGAATTAAAGATGTGTTTCAGGTTCTGCACTAACCTTATGATCGACGCCGACACGTCCTTCCGTCCTCAGGCCACCAGGCGGACGGGACCTCCCACGCCATCTTGAACTACGTGGGCGTGGTGGCGTCGGTGCCGTGTCACTTCCAGCTTCAGATGTATCCCTTCGACTTCCAGCTGTGCAACATCTCCTTCATGCTGATGAACGCCCCCTGGACCCGCATCTTCAGGAAGTCCCAAAAAGGAAAACGCGTCCCATACCTCGACTCTGTAAGATGTGATGAATGAATGATTACCTGTATCTCTTACTATTAAGTCCTGGGTTCAGTTCCAGGCCGGGACAGATGTGGGAAGAGTGTTATAGAGTGTGGCTACCAAATATTGCAAGTATTATCTGGGTACTCTCATCTCTTGTATTAACACTGGACAATAAAAGTCATAACAAAGCAACGTAAGAACAGATCAACCACCAGAACAGCTTGTAACCTCCTCCTCTTCCTCTTCTCCTAATTCCTACCCCTATTACTCATCCACTAATTCCTCCACCTCCTCCTGATCCACTAACTCCACCACCTCCTCCTCATCCACTAACACCTCCACTCCCACACAGCGTCGAGTGCTACTGGAGTACGCCCTGGAGGAACAGACAACAGAGGTGGGCTGGTTCCTGCAGGGTACCGACAACAACACATACTTCGCTCTCACCTTCCACCTGCGTCGCCTCTACGGTTATCACGTCGTCAACAGCTTCTTCCCTAGCCTCCTTATGTTCCTCATCTCTTACGCTACACTCTTTTTCCAGGTGGGTCTGTCTATCTGTCTGTTTGCCTGTCCGTTTATCTGTCTGTTTGTCTGTGTGTTTCTGTTTCTCTGTCTCCTCCCCAGCCTCCTTATATTCTTCATCCTCTATGCTACCAGGTGTGTCAGTCTGCCTGTCGTAACATTTCTTCCCAGAGTCTTACATATATATTTCATTTCTCTAGATTTAAAGATAGATAGATAGAGAGCTTGATAGATAGATAGATAGAAGAATATAATTAAACCTGAGTTGTATAGAAGAAAACTAACGTAAACACACACACCCTTCCCCACCACCTCCCCAGCTCGAGGACTTCACCAACCGCATCATGGTGTCCCTCACGGCTCAGTTGGTCCTAGCAGCTCTCTTCACCTCCACCACACAGTCCTCCGTCAAGACCCCTTACCTCAAGCTGATCGACGTGTGGTACGCTGCCGTCATCACCTTCTGCTTCGTCATCGTCATCACCCAGACCCTCGTGAATGTGGTCTTCAACAGCACCAAACTCCCCAAGGTGGTGGTGAGGGCCGTGGGCTTCAAGATGTCTGATATGGAGTTTGGAAAGGTAAATAAACATTGATTACCTGGTGATTAGTCCTCCTCCCGTTAGCTTATTTCACCTCAAGATCAGTCATTAGGGGGATATTATTATTTTGCCATTTTGGGCTTTATGCCATTATGTCTCTCAACCTATTGTGTGTCTGTAGCAGTGTATTTTAACTTACATCTCCTCCTCCTCCGTCCTCCTCCATCTTCCTCCGTCCTCCTCCATCTTCCTCCTCCTCCGTCCGCCTTCCTCCGCCTTGCTCCGTCTTCCTCCGTCCTCCTCCATCTTCCTCCGTCTTCCTCCGTCCTCCTCCATCTTCCTCCGCCTTCCTCCGTCTTCCTCCATCTTCCTCCATCTTCCTTCTCCCTCTATCTAGCCTGTGCATTCCATTACTATCCAGAGAGGAGGAGAGAAGACCACGCCCCCAGGCTCCACACACACCAATAGGCTGAGGGGGAGGCGACCAGCTCAGGAGGTCGCCCGTCGGTACAACTCCGTCGCCCGTATCGTCATCCTCGCCGTCGTCGCCACCTTCGTCATCTTCTACGGTATGATGGCAATGGGTGTCATATAAGAGGCCGCAGGATATTAAGTCAGGACGCCGACTGAGCTTTAAATCCTACGGTTCCTTTACCTACTGTTATCTGGGTGACCAAGATAACATCCTGTAAAGATAATTCAAGTATAAGATCACTATAAAACGCTGTTGAAATCCTACAATGATAACTTAAAGCAAAGCATCAACAGAAACTATTCTGGTGGGATCCTAAACACAAGCTTGAATCCTAAACATCCTACGTAATCATATCCTGCGTCTTATCTACACTGAGAGCTCATTAGTGACCTGTGCACCCGTATCACCTGTTGGTTATACTCAGGCTCCCTTGTATCTACAGCTTTGGGAACGTTTGATAATTTCTAAGGTTTGTATTTGACCATTTCTGAATAAACATAAACATAACATTTTAACAATAACAACTATGTATCAATCATCCATATGTATCAAGACTCAATAATATGTATTTATCACCGTCCGTTCATAATGTCCTATTCTGATAACGTCACTTCCGGCTTGGTTAAAATGGCTGAAATCGAATCTCCGTAAATATTATAAAATTAATACCCAATTGATGCATAAATTAACAGTATGATTAAATCTGAGTAAGACAACAGGTTATTTATGATTCCTTATCAGTGTTATCTATGTGTTTAATTATCTCACTGATTATCTTTCGTCCGAACTGTGAGAAGTTTGTTGGTTTTAGTTCATTCCTAAAATGGGAATGGGGGAAAGGGTGATGATTTGGGGGATGGAGGGGGGAAAGGGTGATGATTTGGGGGATGGAGGACAGAAGGAGAGACTGGGGGGGGCAGGGGGTAGGGGACAGGGGAGACAGGGGAAGGGGGGAGTGTAAAACTACCCCAGATATCTTGTCAAAGTTTAATTCCTCCACCGAAAGTTGTATTATATTGGTTCAACCTCTGGGGTTCTTTATATCCCCTGGTTAATGGGTCCTCCGTGGCTCCCCAGACACCAGAATGTTTTAGCGTTGTTCACCCCACGATGATACTTTAAACAACTTAAATGCTCCCCACCATCAATTCCTGAATCCTCCATCAACCCCTCATCCCCCCTTCATCAACCCCTCATCCCCCATCCTCCATCAACCCTTCATCCCTCCATCAACCCTCACTGCCCCTCCATCAACTCCATCAAACCCCCCCCAATCTAAGCTTCTGACTCCGGCTACCATAAAATTACTCTTAATAACAACAGTAAATAAGAACATTAACTTATCACTACTCAGAAGTTTACCGATAAATGATTCAGATAAATTTGTTCGATGACACGTTGGCTGTGACTTGGACTTCAGCTTTGTACCGCAACTGTGTTATGAACCGAACACACTGATGGCGTGAGAGTTTAAACAATTCGCACGGCAATTATGTTTTTAAACTCTCAACAGCAGCAAGACGTTTAGGTTTGGTTAGGTTTGGTTAGGTTAGATTGGTTAGAGGTTAGGTTAGGTTAGGAAGGGTGAGGTTTGTACGATTTTTTCCACTACAGAATTCAAGGTAAATTAACACGAGCCGTTTCTCCCTGTCAGAGGCTAGCATGCGTGCGGTAAAAATGGCAATGAACCGAGAACACCTCACGATGACTTCCCTCCCCCTGCAAACTTTCTCCTTTTTGCCTCTTGAGAGTTATAACATTTCCACCGAGCAAGTAAAACGCTCGGGAACATTTTATAAGTCCTTGTTCTGTTGTGATAATTCCTCTCGTCTTCGTGAAATAACAAACAGACGGCATATTGAACACAAAGCTTCTTACACGACAAGATCACAGATGGAGAAAAAAAGATGGAAAATGACAATGTATTAATTCCTGGAAATACGCAAAATACCCTTGACGTTTGCTGACATTTAATCAATATTGTCGTTAGAAGATATATACACGAAGTAGGTAATATAAACATAGCTTATGTTAAGGAGATACACAAAAAGAAAATAATATCAGTTAAAATGTGTATACAACACCTCAATCACGCCATTAACGGACAAAACAATCTCTGGCAACCCTCTCATTGGAACTCCATCACCAGTGTTGGCTCAGCTGTAGGGAAGCGAGTGTGTGTTGTATGTTCCTCGGTGATATTGTCAATGATAACTCTTCTACACACGCTTCCAGGGACATGTGATAATGAAAAATAACTGAAGAGAACTGGGAGATAACGGTAAGAGGTGACAGGTTAACGAGAGGGCCGGGAATTTCGTGTTTTTGAGGTAAGTTGATAGGATTCGGACAGAGCGTTATTTAACTCATGGGTTGTGTTATGACCCTTTTGTGGCTGTCCTGAACAACATTGTTAAATTTTAATATATTTTGCCATATATTGTGCTGATGAGGCGAGTGAACGTGTAAGTAATATTCCCCTGACATTAACATTTACCATCTCTTGTTCATTAATCTTATCTGAGGGTTGAACACATATCCTACCCATGACATCACGTATATCTTTTGCCTATGATATTTTACCAGGTCTATTTACAGTGATGGTGTTTTGATTCAGCAATAACCAGCTTATTTCACCTGATGATTAAAACACCTTAACGCTGAGGGGGTTAATAATTAAGTGATCCCTTCTTTAATTACTAATTTAAAAGTTTTTAGTTTTATTGATATTAAACTTTTTTCGCTCTTATTACGTTTTTTTAGAATGTTAATAGAATAAAAAAAAGTCTTATCAACATAAAGGAATGAAGCTGGTGTCCAAGAAATAAATAATAATTCGCAATATAGATGATTTTTGACGTAGTGGTCAAACCAGAGAAACCCAACCTGACTAACGTAAATCTGGTTAAGTTTAGTTAGGTCAGGTTTGGTCGGGTCGTGAGTTATTTAAATAGTTTAGCGTCGTAGTCTATGAATTGTCATTTAAAACAGCTCCTAGGAAATTTTTTGGTATTTTGTGTTAAAAAAGTAATGTTGAATATTGACAAAAATAATTAAATTGGTAAAGTTAGTAAATATTAATATAAGATGGTAATCACTTCAGGGATATGTTTAATTATGATATCAGGTTAAAAAAACGTGAATAAAAATAAATATTACAAGTGAGAGGAAATTGCAGTTTTATCCATCGTGTTTGATAAAATTACTCTACAAATTATACACATTCATAAATTAGTTAATATAATCGTTAATTACCCCGTAGATGAACTAAACTGTCTACATGTTGCAGTTGCTGTGTACGTGGTGCTATTTCAAACATTGTATGAACACATCTTCCGGGTGGGCTTTCATTTGCGTCTGTTCGTGGAAAGCATTAACATACAAAATGTCTGAATTCCTTGAGCCAGGCGAGATATTCGGTGCTTGGCTGTGTGATGGGAGGGAGGCAGAGTATTTAATTGGTTTGTGTGTGTGTGTGTGTGTGTGTGTGTGTTGACAGGTGGTCTGGACTAAGGTAGTAAGCTCCATTGCCCAAATACGGTATCCACTTTCGCTTCCTCAGGTCAGTCAAACTTGTGCCATAATGAACGACCGAAAATAATTAATTAGAAGGTTAGGTAGGTGACAGGCCAGGTATAGGGGTTGGGGGTGTATGTGTCGAGAATATGGGTGTAGCTGTAGGGTTGAGGTGTACAGGATATGAGTGTACTGTAGGTGATACCAGGGAGGGAGGTTACGTGTAATATTTCTGTACTGGAGGCGTTGAGTAAGGCCGAGTCCATTTTTTGCATGTGTGTGTACCACTCAAGCTCTACACTGACCTTGGTATCACTAGGATTGTCACGCACCACTAGGCTTCACAATGTTGGGTACAGTACTGAACTTATTAGTACTGAACTTATTACAGTACTACCGCTATTATTGCTACTACTACTGATGACCCCATACTTTCTTTGTTATTTATTATTTCTATATTACTAATTCATAACCTGTTCGTCTTTATCAATTAATTTTGTTTATGTGAAAAGAAATCGTAATTCTGCACTCGGAAAAAAACAGACTGAAAATTGATTTACAATGGGATATTTCTATCGTTTATTGATATATAATGTACGTTTATACCAGCTATGTAACGGATATATATTTGTTGTCCAAACGCGAAATTAAACTTGTGTAAAAACAAGCTATTCACGTCAAACGCTAACATTTTAACCTGTACTACTGAGATACGTCAAAGATATAGTACAATACTAAGTGCAATTAAGCACAGTAATGGTCCAGTTACTGTACATGCATAAGACAAAAAAGGGAAAACAATGCTTTATAAATAATGTGTATACAATTTGTATACGTCAGGCAGCATCAAGGGGAATAAACTAGGAAAAACTAGATGCATTTCTCAGTAACTAGGCATGAGGAAGAGGAAAAATATTACAGTGGAGCGGAGAAAACAAGTCGGTGATTCAGTTTAAGAAAAGCGTGCATAAAGCCTGACTGTTAGGCAAAAGCTCTTGCTCAATGCACGCTCTGGTGGTAATTTCCTGACCGGGCAACTCTTTAAAGTTTCAAATCGTTCACTGGTTTTAATTTACTGTTTATCCTCACCTCAAATATTAATTATTACTATGGTTCAGATTCTCAAAGATTAATTAATATTTGCATCTCTGTTTATTGATACAAGAGCATCAACGAGAAGGTCTTATGAATCAATGGTTTGATTCTCAACAAGGTAACTTGAAATCGCATCAATATTACCTTAACTTAATATACTATCAACATTAAAGTGTTTTCTCATCCCCAGTTGTAAAGAAAAACGTAACTCAAGAACCTTCTGAGAAATTCAAGACCAGTAGCAATAAACTTTATGAACAAGAATAAAAAGAAAGAAAGTAGTGTCTTTAAGATTCGCCATATTTAGACTGTCTGTCGGAGCCAAGTGACAACACCCACCACTTACAGTATGTTGTTGACATTTAGGATTCAGATTTTTATTCAGATTTGCACCACACAACTCGTGGCTATAATTTATGGGGATAGCCTCGTACAATCTGTTTAAAGCGAAGCGCGAAAGCATTACAGGGGTCAAGAGGGAAGCTCGTTTCTTATTAAATCACTGGGAGGAGACATTTATCGAACTGCCACCTCCATTATTAATACTATATAATTTTACTCTTTATATGTATCACAAGTTGAGACATAAACTAGTAAGGCCTTGGTGCCACAATACATAATCCATAATGTTAATATTTGACCCAACTGTCAACTATATAATTTATACTGCATAATTATCATAGATTCCTTTATTGAAATTAAAGCTTGTTAGGTATGTGTGAGTGAGTAATGGCTAATTTATATTGTTTGTGAACTAAGAGATACAGTGATATGCCTTGGAGATGGTATAAAAGGTAACTGGAAAGTGTTGTAGGTCATCATAAATTCAGGTATGTCCGGATTTCTTGATAGCGTTCGTAGTAAGTAATCCAGATCTTTTGTTTTTACTTACGTTGCTTTTGTTTATGGGGTCGAGTTTTGTTCGCCCGATAGCTGCCATTCCTGATTTGACTGATAGAGAGGTTTGACCCACGAGGAATTGTCTGCAAGTAACCAATGTTTTTATTTTATTTTAGTTTTTTTTATTAATTTTAGCTATATTTGTTAGCTACATTCCTTCACGCTTGACATTTCTTTAATTCCTTGACATTAAATATTATTT